TGCAGTCAGCAGGGTCACTATTACCGTGTACCCAACCTCGACACGAACGTAAATTGCTGCGCCGTACGCCGTGGTGTTCGACCTTTAGGTGTGGTCGGAACGCGACCCTTGCTATTCGACGTCCGTTTCCTAAGTGGGAACCCTGCCGACTCTAGGGCCCCTTTCAGCTCCCGAATCGCAGCTTGGGCTGCGCCCGCGAGAACGTCATCAACGTACATAAAATAGATAATTTGGCTTGCCTGGCAAAGGACCGTGAAGCCGCTAGCTCGGAACCCTTCTGCTCGGGGTCGCGTCAGGGGAGCATCACAACGTACTTGCCACACTCGTCACTTCTCGTCGTCTGGACAAAAATTGTGCTCGCAAACTGAATCCGATTCCGAACTGATCTGTGCACATCTTCCACCTCCCAGAATCCCAGAGTCACCGAGGCTGCGAGCAACTCGTGTGGAAAAAATGGACACCCTGCGGGGGTTGGCTGGAGATAATGGGCCTGTCAGCACCCATCCAAAAATGCTCTCCTGACCGAGAAGCGACCCACACATGTTAGTCTTGGAATTACCGAGGTGAATGGACGGAAGAATGTCAGCTCCTATTAACACATCCACTTGGGAGCTGTCAAAGAAGTTGGGGTCCGTCAGGGGAATGTCGGGCAGCCCTTTGAGGCGATCTGGCGGAATCGGATATGATGGCAGATTTCCTGCCAACTGCGGAAGAACGTAAGCCGCAGTCTCTAATTGTTGCCCGGGTCTAGACGGCGACCGAATGGAGAAATGGCACAATTTAGTAGACTGCGCGGAAATGGTCTGAATGGAGCTGCACTGCACACGTTGATAAGGCCGTGCCCAGTAGGACGGCTCCTGACCCGGAAGCGAAACACACCTGCATATCCGACTGATCCTCTGAGCCTTTTGTGCTTCTGGCAGTCTGTGCGGGTCGAGCCCTTGCTGGCATAGGTGGACTTGGAGCTATGGCGAACGGATTGCCGCGGTGCAGGAGAGTGTGGTGTCGGCTGTAGCATGTGAAGCAGGTATGGGCGCTTGTGCAGTCTCGCTGCCCCTCGGGCAAAACAGTTTAAACATAACTGCCTCCTCTTAATTTAGTCAGAGCGCCCATTTACATCCATTTCTAGGAAACGCGGATATAAGCGAATGGGGTGGTCCTCCCTCGAACAGAGATCGCAGCCCTTTTGGCCCGGAACCACTCGAGTCTCGTATGAAGTGAGCCTCCGAGCAGGGGCAGTAGGAAGTCCCGACCTTGGCGGAAATTGCCCGGAGCTACTAGGCCTGACGTCGTCGATGGCCTCCAGAGTGCGATGGCACGTTGATATCCATGTTGATATTTTGGCCTTATTATGTACGGATTGCTCCCACATAGAAAGTGTGACTTTGGGGAGCTTTGAGGAAATCATAAATACCAGGAGACAGTCCCAAGCCCCAACATTGATGGAGGACATTTCTGTCCTCCTATGCTAGGGCTGTCAGACAACTCTGAATGGTGGCTTGCAGCTCCTTCAGCGCGACCCCGGACTCTTGAGAAATAGCCTGGATGTTGAAAAGGATCTTCAACTGGCTTTTGACCAATAGCCGCCGGTTTTTAATGCGGTCTGTGAGGCTTTGCCACGCTGCGACAAATCCCTCATGGGTAAGCGGAGCCTTAGATACAATGGCGTGGGCGTCACCATTTGTTTTTGACAGTAAAGTGGAACAACTTCTCTACCGGGGTGAGCCGCGAGTTTTGGATGTAAATGGCCGTAAACAAGTCTATGAAGGTGGGCCACCGAAGATAATCACCCGCGAAGACCTTGGTATCCACCGGAGGTAACCGGCAGCCTGTAGACGCGGGCGTGTGTGAAGACATTGACGGAAGCCTGAGTGGATTGGGAGGCAATTTTTTCCCGAAGCTGGGCAATACACCTCGAATAGACGGAGTAACAGTAGCTGTACTTCGATTCCAGCCCTGTCGAGGTGGCCGCATAGTCGTCGGACACGGCTAGCAAATCGGAGCAGCTCTCATAGATCTTCTCCACCTTCTCCCACAGTGCCCCAATTTGGTTCCGATAGACTTCGCACATGTATTGGGAGCCTATTTCCATTTCTGGGACGCCCGGAGTATTTATGTTAGCCTCAAATTGGCTAATTCGATCTGTTGTGGCGATGAACTTTTTCAGCGCCACTTCGACCGCACTTTGAGCAATTTTCGCAACGGAGGGAGTCTGCCTCTGTGAAGGACCGGAGGTTCTATTGACGGATTCGTCGCTCTTTGCCCTTGGAATGGCACTAGTCGCCTTAGGCTTCAACAGAGGCGTCCGCGGAGATGCGGATTTAGATCTGTCCAAACGGATGGTTGGGATCGGACGTGGCTTTTGGTCGTCTCCCGTGGGCATTCTCAGAGTCCAATTCGCTGGTCAGCGCTTGTTGATAAGTGGACAGTATAACTGGTGGAACAGAAAAGTTATGTGGTGTGAAAAATTGGGGAAAAAAAAAAATATTACAAATTTGGAAAAATAAAATTTGGAAATTTCCGGAACTAATTCACACCGGCTGCGGATTTTCTTCTTTGTGGATTTATTGGACCGCAAAAAATATATATGTATGTTTGTATATATGTACATATATGGATGCCCTTATGCCTCGACCGTTGACAAGCAAATGGATAACGGAGTGGCCAAAAACGGCGAGAAATATGGCAAAGCACACAAAACGGAGACGGATGGAAAAAATTTGTAGAAAATCTCAAACTGCCGTTGTGTCGGAAAACTTAAAGTGAAACTTCTAAGTTGGTTTTCCCATGCATGCGAGCTTCGGTTTAGATCTCTCCCCCCTCTCTCGTGTTGAATTCAGGTTTCCATATTCAGGTTTCGTTTAAAAAGTGTATAAAAAGCGATAAACCAATTTACCGGAGCTGTGTATTAATTACTAGTTTAGGGAATTTTCTATTCAAACCCACACGCTAACAAGGTTATGTATTCAAAATCCCCCATTCGTGATGTATTTCATCGTACATTTATGTGATATATTTATACCCTTGCAGAAGGTATTATAATTTTGTCCAAAAGTGTGCAACGCAGTGAAAGAGACATCTCCGACCCTATAAAGTATAAATATTCTTGATCAAGATCACCTCCTGAGTTGATATGAGCATGTCCGTCTGTCCCTTTGTCCGTCTGTCTGTCTGTTTCTACGTTTACTAGTCTCTCAGTTTTAAATCTATCGACTTGAAACTTTGCACACATCCTTCTTTCCTTTGCCGGAGTATATAAGTCGGAACAACCGGGATCGGCCGACTATATCCTATAGCTACCATATAACTGATTGATCGGAAATGGTATAATTTTGGTGTTTTTAGAGTTAGAGTTGAAATTTGACACGAGAGCTATCTTTGTCAAAACATTACGACATGCATAATTTCATAAGGATCGGTCGACTATATCCTATAGCTGCCATATAACTGAACGATCGGAAATGGACCAACTTTCGAGTTTTTGAAGATAGAAAGCTGTAACTTAGTACATATTAAATTTTTGGTCAGTTAATCCGACCTACCAAATTTTATAAGGATCGGCCGACTATATCCTATAGCTGCCATATAACTGAACGATCGGAAATGGTACTTGGTAGAAATATCAACTTTCGTATTTTTGAAGATAGAAGTTTGGGACTTATTTTAGATTTTGTATTTTAGTAAATTGGTTTTATTATGATGTAATCATAAGGATCTGCCAACTTTTGTGTTTTTGAAGATAGAAAGCTGGAACTTACAGATTACAGATTATATTTTTTCTGGTTTTAACTGCAAGGGTATATAAACTTCCGCTGCGCACGAAGTTAGCTTTCCTTTCTTGTTTTTGGATACATTTATTTGATATATTTACTTAATATATATTTACCTTGGATTGCCATGTATTTCATCAGGCATATTGGAGACGGCGTGTCTCAGTGGCTCTCTCACATCGTTCAGCGCTTGCGATGCGAGAGAACTACAGAGAGAGCGAATAAGCGAGAGTGGGAAGGAGCGACATTTGACGGTTTTTGGTAACTCTCCGAACTTACTGTTTCACTCGCCTATTTTCAATCTGCCTTGGGGCTCCCGACGCGCCTAAAGAAGTTTCACTTTAAAATTAGTTCAGCGTATTTTTTTTTCTTTAATTTTTATATGTTTGGTTTAAAAAAAGGAGAATTGAAAAACTTAAAACCTTTCAAATGACATAAATTGTAAGCGTTATAACTTCAACTATTTTCACAATTTCGAAATTAAACTAGTCTCGTTTTATTCAGAATTAATGAGACAATATTGATATGTATTAAAAATGATAGCATTTCTTGGAAGTTGTACCGAAAAAATGGCGTCAAAGTCCGAAAAACACTACAAAAATTCAAAAATGTCAGTTTCTTGCGTAAAAATTTTATCCTTTTTGTTGAAATAAATTAAAGATCTATTTTCTTTTTCAAAATCTGCAACATTTAACTATTGAAAAACGAAAAAAATTTTTAAATCGGTTTAAAATTACGCGTTTAGGAATTTTTAAGAGCAAAAAAGTCCCGAAAAACGTTTTTTCCAAATAAATCAAGATTTTGAGGGTGTTTGAAAAATTTCAAACATGGTTTTATACTATACTCGACCTAATGAACAATTCCTACTAGGTCTCTTCAAAAGTTCCTCCAATTTTTCTTTTTTTGTGTAATGTAAATAAAAAATACTTTGTAAGTATGGAGACTCAAATGCAGCCCTTAGCCAAAATTAAGTGTGTCAAAATACCTGTATTTTTACGCAAATTCCTCCCAAACTGATAGAATTTTTTGCAAAAATGATCTTGTTAAAGCAATACATTCTGATTTGTATTGGTTATCAATCATTCAGATCAAACGAAAATAGAAAGCGCTAAGGTTTTCTTTCGCCGTCACCTGTGGACTGCCTTCCACATTTATATATAATAACTAATTATTTTGAATTTTTCTACCCATTCATATTTTGATTATATTAATTTTCTTTCAATTTGACAGCTTTTAATAACATGGCGAGCACCTATACGTGACACTTGGAACGGAGAAATATTGGGGTACACAATTAAATACCAAAGAAATGGCTTTATTACTGGTTTTAGAAATTATACAAAGGTAAATAGACTGCCACCTGATGGCTTTAATAACTTTCGACTAAGTGGGTTGGATAAATACACACAATATGAAATCACAATATCAGCATATAATATTAAAGGAGACGGACCCCCAAGCGATATAGTGTTAGGTCATACCTTAGAAGACGCACCATCTGCAAGCCCTCGATCTGTTTCTTGTAATGCTCTTGGATCACAAAACATTCAACTGTTTTGGCAGCCTCCACTTAAAGAATTCTGCAATGGCATTATCCAAGGCTATAAAATATTTTATGAGCCCAGATTATTAGAAAATCAGTTAACCGCACGGGAAACGAAAGTCTCATCAGCACTTACCACTGTATTGCATGGTTTGCAACCTTTTACTAATTATACGATTCAAGTATTAGCTTTCACCCGCGCAGGGGAAGGCAATTTAAGCAATTCCGTGTCATGCATCACTGAAGAAGCGGTTCCGGATGCACCAGAGCGTGTAAAATCCATCGTTAGCTCCGAATCATCCGTAATTATTAGCTGGATGCCTCCACGACGACCTAACGGCCTCATTATTAAATACGATGTATACATAAGAGTTCTTGAAAAGGGAAAGGAACTTAAAATATTAAAAGAAATATTGCCATCACAACAATTGTATTATGAAGTCAAAGGTGTTATTAAAAAAGAAACTTATGAAGCTTGGGTGACGTCATCTACAAAAGTCGGACAAGGTCCGAGTACCCCTGTTATTAAGTTTATAGCCAACAATGTTGTACCAGCGGCCATAATATCTTTTAGTCAAGTATTAAGACAGGGTTGGACTGTTGATTTACATTTCCCCTGTATTTTCGTCGGATCTCCAAAGGCTGCGGTGAAATGGAATGTTGTAAACAACCAGTCCAAGAAACACATTCAAATGGAAATAAGCAAAAACAACACCTTAAGTCTTCGAAATATTCAAAGAGCTCATGAAGGCAACTACACCTGCATGGTAAAGAACCTATTTGGCTCCGACCAAATTACATATCAACTATTCGTTCAAGGTAAGATTACAATATATTTAAGTAGACCGTTTTATTTACTGATACTTTTTCCAGTCCCACCCTCAACACCAATAGTATCTATAACTTCCATAGAAAAAAAGTCAATATCAGTTCAATGGAAAGTAGATGATATTGGTGGATCATTCATAAAAGGCTTTACTTTGAAGTACAAACGAGAAATTGGATTATGGAAGGAGCTTTTATTAGATGCCCGCTTAAACTCAGTGGTCATAGAAAATCTACAATGTGGCACCCCATATCAGATTACTGTTAGCTCATACAACAGAATTGGAACAAGCCCTTCAAGTGAAATAAAAACCATAAAAACAAAAGGTATTGCTAATAAAATTTAATAATTAGTTTAAAAAAAAAATTCATTAATATTTTTGTTAAAGGCGAGAAGCCTGTTGCCCCGCACGACGATATTTTAATACGTTTAAATACAACCTCAATTTCATTGGAATTATCTTCTTGGCAAGACGGAGGTTGCGCGATATCGCATTTCAGTATAGAATTCAAGCGGAATGAACCCTCGAATAGGTGGATTATTGTTTCAAATAAAGTCGAATCACATGTAAGGAAAATTTATAATTCATACTTTTTTTAATTTTATTTAACCAATTTAAAAATTATTTCCTTGTACCGTAAGTCACGTTACCTAATTGGAGACTTAGAGGCAGGAACTGCATATAAACTGCGTGTGACAGCTTATAATAACGCCGGCTCCACCAAAGAAGAATTGTGCTTTACAACCCTAAATATTAATGAACTTTACAAAGAAAAGGATCTTGTAAAAACCATCATTAGCGATTCACAACTAATAGCAGTGATTGTAACATCAATTTTTGGAATTTTTCTTGCCTTAGCTGGAGCACTAATATGCATAAAAAAATGTATGTATATAAATTTAAATATTTAAGGTAATAAAAGTGCATATAAAATTTTTTATAATAACTTTAGATTCACGTGACACTACATTAGATGATAGCAAGATTACCGATGGTTTAAATATGGAAACAAGCACTCAAAGTTGCGATCATTTTTATGGAACTTTACGTAAATCTTACCGTAATAATGAACCTAAATCAGCTTTTAAACATAGTATTTCACCCCATAATAGAGAAGGTATCAAACCTTATGCAAAATTTGATTTACATGACAATGAAAATGTGTTTCAAAACAACTCACAAGGTCAAATAAGAAAAATATTAAACATCCAACCATCCAGTTGTATAGCTAACAGTCCTCTATATTCCGCTGAAATAAAGTTAGATTCTTCATTGACGCATGTTAACGATATAACGACATCATTGAGAAATGTTCAATTAAATCGAAAGTATAATCACATAAACACTGATAAGGAGAATAATATTTCTTCCAAATTAAGTAAGTCAGACTCAGAGGAGTATGATATTTTAAATAGTGATGGTGAACAATGTGACGAATTTCCTGTAAAAAGTAAATTTTTTTCACCCCAAAATGTTGCTGTTGATAATGGTAAGTAAAAATACATTTTTAAAATATTGTTCATTTTTTATTTTCTTTTTCATTATTTGTACTCTTGTTTTGAATATGTATTTGGTCCTTTTATTTACCTTTGATAAATTTGAAAGCTTTCAATGTAACATATTTTTAAATATTTTGAAAATCACTGTGGACGGCAGTGAAGACACTATAGATGGCAAAAGAAATAATGAGAAATTTTTATTTTTTTGTCCTGGTCTGTCAGAATCTTTGGAATGGCCCTAACCCTAACCGACCGAGGGGCGCATAACGTACGGCACAGCGGTTTAAAGTTATTGAATAGAAAAATCTAAAAATAAGAAGAAGAATCTTTTAGGAAATTTAAAAAAGTTGTTTTTAAGTTTGGAAGAGAGGCAAGTTTTTTTTTATTATGACAGGTGTGGTTTTATTTAAAACTGTCCAACAGGGACAACCATTAAATATTGTGGCAGAAAACTTGGATTATGTGTAACTTAAGTTAGAGGTGGAAAAATAAGAAAGTCTAAGTTATTCCGGATGATGTCCAGCGGGTGAGCTCTGCGCAGCATCCGCATCTGTTCGCTGTTGTCGAGGAGAGTGGTCGCCAAGTCGTTGGGGTGGTTGTGTAGCCTCTGGCTGCTGCTTCTCTGTATCTCCTCCTTCACCCATGGGAAGCCAAGTACCTTCTGGATTGTCTGGTTTTCGTGGTAGACGTGGGCCCCAGTGGCGATACGGAGGGCTCTATTTTCAAACGTCTGGATAGTTTGAATATTAGTCTTGCTGGCCGTGCCCCAAAATTGGATCCCGTATGTCCAAATAATCGCCTTATAGATTAGGATTTTCGAAGAAGTCCTTAGCTTCGACCTTCTACCCATCAGCCAATAGTACGCCTTCAATCTTACTTCACACTGCTTTCGCTTTTTGACTAGGTGAGGCTCCCAAGTAAGCCTCCTGTCTAGCGTGAAGCCCAGGTATCTTGGGTTTTCTACTTGTGGGATGGGGGAGCTGTTGAGGTGGATTGAGGTGGGCTATTTCCCCGACGGAGAGAAAATGTGGTGGTGGTGGATTTATCGTTATTAACATGAATATTTCACCTTCTCTGCCAATCGCCGAGAAGATCTAGTTGCTCCTGCATGACAGCAACTGCCTCTGTAGCGTTGTCAGCAGCGGTCAGGAAGGCGGTATCGTCCGCATAGGTCGCTGCCATTATGTTGGGGTTCCGCAAAATTGGGAGATCAACCGTGTAGACATTGTATAATAAAGGGCCCTGCACACTGCCTTGGGGGACTCCGGTGCGGACCTCCCTGAGTCCGGAAGTGGCCTCTCCGCATCTCCTTCATGAACGACTCCAGAAAGAGGTAGTAAGGTCTGGGCAGGTTAGTCTTCAATTTATGTTGCTTGACATCCAGCATCCTCGTCCAGTACTGGCAATGCTCTACTTAAAAACACTCTTTCAAGAATTTTGGAGAGTATCGATAGGAAACTAATCGGACGATAAGAGGCAAGATCAGCTTCCGGTTTTCCGGGCTTGGAAAGTACCCAATTTCTAAGCATTTATTATAAATTTTCGTCAGTATCTTGATGCTTAGAAATGGCAGCAGTTTTAACGCGGCTGCATTGATGCCATCATCGCCCGGGGCCTTGTTGTTGCTCAACACTGAAATCTCGGCGGCTGTCTCCTCTTCCGTCACAGGTGGTATTCTGTCGTCGCCTCGTGCGGTCTCTGCCAAGAGTGGTTCCGTTTCTGCTGACCTGCACCAACTGCCGTCGGCTCGCTGAACAGGTGGGATCCTCTTAAGAGGACGTCGTATGCTTTTCGTGACGCGCCACAGATTGTTTTGTGGGTCACCCGGTTCCAATTGTTCAACGAACCCGTCGAACGCTTCCTTCCTCAAGTCCGCCAAGAGTTTAGAGAAACACTTGGAGACTCTATTCAGGATGGTCTTGTCCCTCGGGTTTCTGGACAGCATCCAGACCCGCCTGAGTCGCCGCTTTTCCAGCTTGAGAGCCGTGACGTCTGGATTCCAAAAATGGATATCCCTGTCAGTGGCTCTCGGGCGGTTCGAAAGCCTTGGAGCTGCCTCGGCTGCTGCAGCTTGGATTTGTGCGGTCAGTTCCTCGACGGCCGCCTCAATCTGGTCGGGGGATTCCAGAGTTCTGTTAAGATCCGCGGCAGAGCACATCCAGGACTGGAATTTCCCGATGTCCGTCATCTTATAAATAAGTCCAGGACATCTGGGATCTTCAACGGATCTGTTGGCCAGTAGGTTGTAGCGCCTGTAGTATGACAGCCGAGATTACGAGCCTAACTAGAGCCCCGCCTAAGTTTTGCAGTAGAGCTCCACTGCTGGCCTGCTTTTCACCAGGCCGTTGGCGTTCCAAATTGTGACGTCTAGTCCCATTTGCATAAGGACTTGCAGACAGTGGCGATCATTTGGGTCATTTGACCCATAACTTTTTCCATCATTCTCTCAAACATGGCCTCTATTCTGCACATAACCGCGTCCAGTGGGTTGCCTGGCGGGATTGGGTTGGCGTTAGAACTTTTCTCCGGTTGTGGGGCAGCATTCCTTGCTGCGTCAGCGTAGGTGACATTTGGGTTAACCCTGCTAGAGTGTGGTCAATCCTGTTAAAGTGGGGCGGCTGGTACCGTAGGACAGCTGCCTGCTTGGGGCCAAAAGGTTTTTCGCTCTCTTGTAGGATGCGCAGCCTTTGTAAGAGGCCGCATGAGGGCCATCGCAATGGAGACAGAGGGCCGGTTCGCTAGCATTCTTTTTACATTCGGCCTTTGGGTGCTCACCTGCACACTTTACGCAACGATGTTCACGTTGGCAGTATCTTTGGGTGTGCTCAAAGGCCTGGCAGCGGTAGCATTGCTGGACATCGTTAAATTTAATTGACGGTTCGACCGTCACTACTGAGCTGTATAACCGCTTGATTAGGAACGCGTCTTTATTGTTTTTGGCTGGCTCCAGTTTAACAAAAAAGATGTTTAAGGGTTTCTTGGTACTCCTTTGTGTGGGATTATGTAACTCCCTGACTTTGTGCCCGAGCCGACCGAGTCCCTCTTTGATATCTTCCAGATCAGTATAGTAATGGAGGCCCTTGATGACCACCCGGTAGGCGCGTTCGACTCTGGGTTGGAAAGTATGGAACTTCTTTTGATTTTCAGTAAGGAACGTCTTAAGTTTGGTTAAGGCGTCCTTGTTCGGAGTCATGACTCGAATAGAGTTTTTCTGGTCGGCCTTATAAGTGATCTCAACCTTGTCACTTAGAGCGCCAGAGATGGCTTTGGAGAGGGCCTTCATATTTGTTACGCCCGGGATAAAAATCGGTGGTAGCTTGATCTTCTTGGGTGCTTTGACTACTTTGTCGTCCTTTCTGGGGGACTTAGTAGATATCTATCTCTCATCGTCATCGGCCGTTTCCATGTCGTCATTATCATCTATATCGTCTTCATCAGGTAGGAGGGCGAAATAGTTTTTTTTCCAGTTTCCGCAGCGATCTCGTTCGACTGAAGTCAGTCTTCACTTAATCGTGAGCCCCTGCAGATCGAGCTACTGTCACGGCAATTCATCAATTCTCCGTCATATTAATATCCCCCTGTACTAATTGTTACTCCTGTTTCTCATTACTGAATTACTTAAAAAGAGAGAGAGACGGAAATCACGGCGACGAGTATTTACCATACGTCTTATTGCAGTAGTTATATTATTTTTGAAGCAAGCAAATGGATAAGCGCCGAACTGTCGGTCAAGCTAAGAAAAGCGCCGGGAAAGAGGTAAAACAAAATATAAGTGATAATCAATCAACTCCACGAGAGAGTCTCTCTGAGAGCGGCTGTACAGTTGAGCCAAATCCGGGGGCCAGTAGTGATAAGCCAAAAGTGGTCTTCCAAACTTTCGGAGTCGCCATGGCGGGAGTTGGAACTCTGGAATCTTTCGAAAAGGCGTACCTTTCTGGAAAGGCGTACCGAGATCGTTTCGAGCTGTACCTTTTAGCAGCGTTTTTTACACTAGCGGGCGCACCCCTTTATGAGTTACTAGTGTCGCTAGCATCACCCAGACCCAGGGTCACTCCGACGAGTCCGTCGGTAACTACATGGCCGCATTAAGAAGTTTGATGGTAGGGTGCAATTTCGGACAAATGTTAGATCGCATGTTGCGGGACCGATTTGTGCGTGGCATGCGCGACGGAGGTTTCCAGCGAAGCCTGCTAGCTGACCACGAATTGACAATGCAGCGGACCATGGAACGAGCCGTCACTAGTGAAGCTGCCGCTGCGGCAGTTTTAACTTAAAGTTTTAACTTAAACCGTATCGCTTCGCGCGTGCTGTGGTATATTTGGAGGCAAATTAATAATTTGTTTAAATTGAATTCCAAGCAAAGCTAAGCTCTGCTTCTTCCCCGACTTATCTCTATTTCTGCATTTTTCCTTTGCACTCTCCAAAGCTCCCGCTTCGGCTTCATATTTGGCACAGTGGTTCAAGGTATAGTGTTTTTTAACTTTTTATACCCTTGCAGAGTGTATTATAATTTTGGTCGAAAGTGTGCAACGCAGTGAAGGAGACATCTCCGACCCTATAAAGTATATATATTCTTCATCAGGATCACCTCCTGAGTTGATATGAGCATGTCCGTCTGTCCATCTGTCAGTTTCTACGCAAACTCGTCTCTCAGTTTTAAAGCTATCGACTTGAAACTTTGCACCCTTCTTTCTTTTGCACGCAGTATATAAGTCGGAACGACCGGGATCGGCCGACTATATCCTATAGCTGCCATATAACTGATTGATCAGAAATGGTATAACTTCGGTGTTCGAAAGATTGGCCGACTACTCGTAACTTTCGTGTTATTGAAGATAGAAAGCTGGAACTTGGTACAGATTATATTTTTGGTCAGTTAACCCGACATACCAAATTTCATAACGATTCCATATCTTAAAGCTGTCATATAACTGAACGATCGGAAATGGTTTTTGGTAGAAATACCAACTTTGCTATTTTTGAAGATAGA